AACTTATCTGCTTGCATACCAAACTGACTAATTATTCTAAACCCACGAACAAATTCTATTAACTTTAACTTTCCGAAAACAGCTAGAATCCTACATGAACCTCCAGCCAAAGCGTGAAGCAATACCACCACTTTGGGGTCAATTGCAGTTTTAAATACACCTATCTGTGTATCGAACCAGAAAAGTTGTAACAAAACATAACAGATTAAGGACGGTGTATTTTTATTGAATAATTTGTCCGCAGCTTCGCTCTACTAGTGTTCCCGTAAATCTAGTGTCATCTACTTCCCACTGAACGGATGTGGACAACAGAAAATGACTGACCATGTAAGATGAATGAGCATACCCATCCTAGTGAGAACCAAGCTTTGTTGATTCCTTCATACAATGAATACGTCCCGTTTAAATCGTGAGAAATTGACCAAGCAAACAGGATCGCTTGATAGACCGTCTTTTCATGAATTAGCCGTTTTCGTTGGTTAGTTACTAACTTGCTTTGGACTATGTTAACTGTTGATATGGGTTGTTGCGTGTAAACTAAGTCGCTGACACGGGATCGAAATAGGCGGCAAATAACCACTTTATTAGTCAAATTAATCGGAGTGCTTACTTTTCATATTGGTGGCAAACAGCCCACTCCATTCAAAAGACTGGGGATTACAACTAACTGACCAGCAGCGAACGTTTAATTTAAGTATGAGCATTATAACAACATATATATTTCAAGACCCATGAAACAATTTATAATCGACCCAACCGTTGCTTGTTCACTTTCAGGACAATTGGGCAATTGTTATCTAGGGACAACAGGAAAAAATGACACCAGGTTAACTTAATACGATATGGATAGATGGGAAAGCGATCTGATCAGAGAAAGGCGGCATACAGCAAAGTAAAGTAGCACTCAAGCTTCTGAGTTGGTAACGCGCATTTACAGCTGCATGCGCAAGCAGATAAAGCGTGCTAACACTAACAAACGTTGTTCATACGACTTGTGGTATTGGGCACACCGGAAGGTAACGGGTCAACAACAGAACAAACCAGTGTCCTAACTCAAGGAAAATTCCTAAAGGCTGCGGACGGATAGGCGCTAGGAAGAAAAATGATGGTACTGCTCGACAGACCTACGAATCAGAGCGCATCACTTAGCCGTCAGAAAGATGTTCTTAGATGACTGGAACAGTGGCCTGTCAGAGGTAATACAAACGGTAGATGATCGGTGTCATAGTAAGTATTGGGTTTTCTGAGCTATAGTAAACTGACAAAACTGCAGTAATTGTGGCTTATTGTAGCATCCATCCAGAGTTCAGCTGATCGCCCAGTGGCATTTAGTCTTTCATTAAACGGAAAATGAGACACAGTCGTCCGGTTGTTGTTACCTTTGTTGAAATTTGCATTCAGGATGTTTTCCCCAGCAAATTACAAGATTTATTTTTAGAATGCGCTCAACAATCATATGCGGTATGATCTTGCCTGGATGACGAAGTGTCAGTACGTAGCTACTTGCTTGGCTTCTATACTTGATAGTAGAGAACTATTTGCAAGTTAACTACACGCCCGTCTGCTGAAAAACTGACTTGAAATATCCTAATGTAGTGAATTAGTCCTTTCCTATAGTTACGGCAAAATGCTAATTTTCAGCTAAGGGCAACCGGTTTGCAACTCAACAGCAAGTGCAAACACTACATTCTCTCTATCCCAAAGTGATAATAATGCTCACGCGCATTTTGTGAGTACTTCAATGATTATCTATTGTGTACTTCCCGATATTGCGAAGCACATCTCACTATAAATAGGCTTATCGCAACAGCGCACTTAGTTGCAACAACTGTACTGATGTCAGTGGACATAGTGGTAGTTGACAAAGGGTCTTTGATAACTGCAACATCATACTGAGGTCGACTGACAGTTAGTACTCGGGTGTCTATACATGTCTAGATCATTGAATAGCACTGTACGAATAACTGTCAATAAATTCGGTGTTGGAACAGACAAACACCAAAGTCCATCGGGGCCAATTGTCCAGTAATCGCGTAATGTTACGTTCTAACTAGTAGCAGAGAGCGTGGGGCATTTTCCCAAGAGCTTAGTTGAAACCAGACGTAGTGAGACAGGGACCACACATCGGGAAATCTGCTAAACGGCGCTTTTGCTCCTAAGAAGGGGCATCCGTCGAATCCCGTTGAATTCTGATCCCTGACCTTGCTCATACCAGCTCACCACGTAGCCGCATTAGAGTAGTTTTAGCAGCCGAAATTCTCTCAACATTGACTGCTACTCCACGGGTCTTGGACTATTATTTTCATTTGGTTATACGCATACACGCTACTGGGAAGTAGTAGTAGAAAAATGACATAGCGGAAAATACAAACTAATGGTTTGTTACAGGTGCTGGATATGATTTCAGAATAAGCAAGGTTGTGAGTATCAAAAGTAGCTTTCCTTTTATTTTCACCTTTGCTTTCTGTTCTATAGTTCTAAAGAAGTGGGCCCTTGATTTATTGTGGTATGGAGCAAAAGCGCTGCACCGGAACATTGCGTGACATATGTTTCATGTAGAAAAGATCAAGTCACCGCTTCTGATTTGCCACTGAAGACATGCTGGCGTTACTAGCAAGTAACGAATACCAGGGTCACACTGCACCTCAAAGCCAACTTGACGAACATTGCAAAGGATTAATTCCGTACAGACTGATTTAAGTTTGCAAAATGCTTAAAGCTTTGGGTACATTCCGACTAACCTACATTTGGAATATTGAAGTAAATAGAATACGGCTCTCAGTGTGCTCATCCGAGACAACCCATGCTATTCAAGACACCCGGATTCTGATTTAAAATGGTGTAACCAATCAATCGGTCACATGTGAAGTGAGTCGGCGAATTTTGACGAATCCGTTATCTCCGTCATATTCAACGCTAACACACAGTGTTACCTTGAAAACGCCAACAACACATGATAAACTCGTCAGTAGTACTCCTTAGTCTGACAAGACATCGCATCTTCAAACAACCAATAATGTACTAATTCTGCGTCACTTTCTATACTAGCAGAGGCTAAAGGTACCCGAAGATTTTGGCGAGACCCCGACAGTTACGTTGAGCATCTCTAAAAGTTTACTTGATTCTGAGTGATCCCAGTCCACTACGCTACGATTGACCGTAGCACATTTACTAGCTAGAATTCAGAAGGGATCACATAAACCAAGCGTTACAACCAGATAGCCGCTAGGAATGCTCTTCCATATGCCCTATCAATAATGTACATTTCATCCATATTTCGTTACTATTGCTTCAACACCGACCGCTAAAGGAATATAAGTGGCGATTCCCCAACCTTTACTTAGTGATTTAGGTGTACCAAAACATTTCGAAAACTAGTTTGGATAGAAAAGATTGCAAACAAGTAGGCAGTTCTCATGTGAACTAATTAATAAGATTCTTAATTCTACGCAATATGTTGGGACACGAACTGTTATGTGCTATCCAGTCATGACATATCCGGCAACGCAAGCTATAAATATAAACCAAATTTGACCTTTGAAGCAGCGTTCTGTCTAAGATAAATCCACTACCGACAAAACAATCAACACATTGCCTTGATCGATTTCCCATATTTACTCAAGCTGAATGAATCGCGAAGTGACTTGAACTCGACGGTTTTCCAAACCATTTGATTTGCGATTTGTTCAAAACACAGTTTTGATGGGACCAGAGGAAATTTACCCTGAACTGGGACCAGACTGTTTACCTTTGAGTGCACCGTTTTGTATTAGCTGTTAGTCTCCTACGAGATGCAGCCACATTCTCTAGTGAGCTAAAGTGACTGTAACTAAAATAGGTTTATTAAATAAATAAATAAACGTTTTATTCTTCGACAGTGCAAGGTACAAATCAGTTGAGGAATCGTATCAACTTGTACAACGTGGTCGCATAATATAGGTAATTTTACGTGTTTTGTACAATGATTCCCATATGGGATTTTGAAGTGCTTAGCAGTTTGAAAGTAATTTAAGGTGCGTCATCTGGATAGGCCACGTGGGTCCAGTACAATTAGTTTACTATGGTCCAAATATAAATAAATAAATAAACAGTTTGTTTTTCTACTGTGTAAGACATCGCTCTTTTTGCTGCTCCGATCGAATCGTACAAGGTGATTGCAAATGTACAAAGTATGTGTGATCTTTATTTTTGTGAAGCACGAGTCAATCAACTTAGTCAGGCATCCTCTCAAAAAAAACCCTATCAATCACATTTTGGTCGGTCGATAGTTCGCGAATATATTGCAAATTTGTAATTTGATCTCATTCACGTGTTGGCATATATTCGGCTTGCAGTGTAGTCTGTCTTCGCAGCGTAGCGAATGTAAGCAATTGGCGACCGATGTGCTGTCATTGAGAGTGCCTTGAGCTAGAGGGATTGTTGTTTCATTATGTAGGATGATCCATACACCAGGGTTGTTTGTATGGAATGTAGACGACAAGCAGCTTTGCCTATAGGAAAATTGCTCCACAGTAGTTAATCGAATCTCGAGAGGGAGGGCATGTTGGAATGCATTGGTAAGTGATAAGTTCATATACACACTAAGTCCAACCTTCGACCTTATCAGCAATCCACAGGTCACTAGAAATTATCATAATCTGCTTACCACCTCAGCATGCTTAGGGCTTTCAACCTCATGGAGTATAGGTAGACTCACCGGATTTTTCAATTTATATTTACAAATTTATTCACACACACGAATATTATACGAGCAAGCTCCTCACCCATATATATAGACATAAATAATCACCAATCGAAACCCAGCGCAAATTAGGACAGATTCATGCATTCGCTATGTGCTTCCATTCCGGAGAGTATGCCGCCCTGTTGTCCAAATGAGTCAGGCCCAGGGCAGACAGCGGATTGGCCGGACACGAAACAAACGTCTGGTACATATATATAGCAGTGAGAAGAGTAAATATTCGGTTTGATTTTCAATACCGACATACACCTTTCACCTGATGATTTTGCATTTGTCTTCAAGTGAGTGAGATTGTCATTCGTCATTTAAATGTTTAGACGTATTTTATGTTATATTATATGCATGGCTAATTGAAGGTAGCTTAAGCCTATGAAAATTTGACATTAGGCTGGTAATATTCGCCGATACCACTTATTTTATGCTTGCCAAACTAGAAATTTAAGTAGAAAATCATTCGGGTCAATAGTGTAGAAAGTCTATATGCTCTGTTCCTCTAACAAGAATTATTCGCAAATTTTTACTCTCTAACTGCGGCACATGTTTTTTGGTCCTTCAACACATGGATTTAGGTGGATAAGAACAGCACTCTTGTTCGATGCAGGTTAGGTGTAAGACCGACCGAATTTCTTGGATGAAACTGACTAAATTACTGATTACTCGGGTAGCATGTGTACTGCTCCGATTGTCTCATACAAATTCGCGACGGTAACTTAGCATATGTGGACACTTAGTGCTCCCATGATTCGCCCAACTGTTTGCATTTAGATGTAGCGGTATTTTCGTTGCCGATGTGTTGGAGTGGGAATTAAGTTTTTTAAAAATATCGATTACTGAGACAAAAGAACTTTCCTAATCCACTAAAGCTGAGCTACTTATAACCTAATCAGGATAGGCGAGAACTGACAAATACTAACCACTTAATCTTAGGGTTTAGGTAGAGAGAACTATGATATATCGTTATATCACAGTATTCTTGGGGGAGCAATGCATCTAAATTTGCTTCGATGACAATTGGCTACGAACATCGACCCCTGAAGGTTGGTTATTCGCACCTACCTACAAGTGAATCAAACTCTTTGTATATAACCTCGGCTGCGGTTATCTATAGGTATTGCAAGCTACTCGAATCAGAAACCGTCACGTCGTGAGTAAACAAGTAGGTACAGGATAAATTACAAAGTAGGACAATTGTAGTTGCTTGGAATGAGAGCAAGGAATGAAACACCAATGACCGTTAGGGATTAATGTTATGATAACGAAGATTCAAACTTACGAGATGATAATGATGGATGAATGTGAATCTCCTATAAAGCATGATTCATTTAAAGCTTGGTCGAAAATGACGTTGGCAGTGAAATGTAGTACTTGTTGAGCCAAGTGCAGCAATCTCACATTTTTAACTAAGTTGTATTCCCTTGTTTGATCACTTTGTTCACATGCTCAAATCAGAAATACTGAAGACTACGGCAGCATGCTTAGGCATCTGCCTGCAAGTGACTATGTTAGAAAACCACCTTTTCCAATTCGTAGATTATACCCATGGAAATGCAAGAACACAATGTTGCAAAGAGTACTCTTTTCGATAAATCTCCTCAGGCATTTACAATTATAAAATGGAAAGGCACAAAGCAAATGGCTGATGAAGCCAAAGTGGTGGGAATAGTGGAATCACGACAAACAGAAACTCAAAAGTCTTGATCAATAAAATCCATTAACAACACATGTAACAAAGCATAAAATGCAAAATTCAAGATTTGCCTGTGGGAATAACCAATAAATATATTCATGAGAATCCGCGAGTAATTATCGTAATTGGTTTGTAAGGTGAGATTGTTTGTCTTAGTTGAGGAGTTTGTCCACGCTCGTTAGCATCGGGCATTGTGATTCTGAGAGGATAGTTTTGACAATTAATAGTTCGGGATTGGTAAGTTGCTGCACTTGGTAAAAAAAAGCTGTCCATGTTTCTATAACAGCAGAGAATACTAGTAACCCATACAAAAGTCCCTTTAAAAGTATGCCATTTCTATGACGATCATTTAGCCAACTAGAAAATTCTTCAGTTAATCCATGCAATTTCGTACTATCTTAAAGCTTCAACAAAAACACTGCACTCTCTCTCAATGGGTTAATGTTGTTTGAATTGGTTGCGATGCACACATTCGTTAAGGGGAGTTCCTGACCGAATATTGGATATTTGGCGATGGTTAACAGTGCATAATGTGTGTCAGAGGTTCTTTCATCATAGATTCTATCTTATTATGTGTTTTTACGTAGATTTGAAATTCGAGACAATGGCTAGGGCAAATGAATTGATGTCACTGGAACTGATGGCTTGCCCGACAATTTATTTCGAAACATGTGCCCGCCTGTGAAGTGCCGCCCGTGGTTGTATGAACGGTAAAAGTTCGACCGATTCGTCACTTCACGTGCCATAGGTGTGAAACTTAGTTGACTAACAGCGTTATCCTTTTGGACGGGTTTAATTTTTCAGTCAGCAGCTCGTTGACGAATCGGCATCGGAGGTTACTTTCAGATGGCACGCTACTTACAAACTACCAGTAACAAAAATAGCGTCGTCCTGTGTGAAGCAGCATTTCAGTTGAGACAATGCAGTGGTATTAGCGACAGTTTAACTAGCTGCACATTTTTAGGGTGTAAGTAGATTTACACAACGGATAATGGAGGTACACAAGTATAGCTTTTCAATTGATCTAGCACTTCGCACTACTGACGGGTAAAGATCCTGCCTTTATGTGGGATATTGCTGTTGAACTGTGTCGAGATGAGATGTAGTCTGTCGAGTATTACTACTACTGCGCCGATAACTCTGACACTTTCACCGACCAATGCTTAAAGTTTTGTCTCCTGAGCTGCCTGGCAGGCGGCGCAATTATAGTAGAATTATGTTATAACATTGCTTGACATTTGTAAGTAGTAGGGGGATTTATAAGGTTTTCGTCGCAAGTTCGTCGCAGATATACACATTGTATCGAATACTAGTTTAGTTGAGAGTTCTGAAGAAAACACGCAGTTCATTCGGTTTACTTCCTGGGACTTACCAAAGGTGCACAAATCCGGGACGCGAACTCTACGGCTTCAAGCCACTGCTGGTGATACGCCAATGATAGCTGGAGCGGTTAACGGTTTTTAACTGGCATCTTTTACAGGCTAACATATCATATTATCCAATTCTCTTCCCCACACGTTAAAATTTGCATTGTGTTTTATCCTGAAACAGCAGGGTTTTGATCTAAATTACTCGGGTTTCTCAACCACGTGCCCACCGCGTGACGTCAAGGCGTTTTTAAACGCTTTGACTTCGTCCTAACCCACCTAGATTACCAGATTTGTCCTCTGTGTCTCGACAGAAGATAGGAGGCGACGAAAGTTATGTAACCGGAATTAATCTACACGATATATGATGGCCATTTCTGCGCGCCTCTGAGTTAACACTGTAGTGAGTCCACCAAAACGATTTTCGTATCATCCCTTTGTTTTCTATTCACCATGTTTTTGTTCTCTTTCTGGTCATCCAACGAGACTTTCTGAACATCCACTTTTTTGCCAAAAATATGCCATTGTTCCGTGGTGTACCTTGGTGTGCCTTGAGATAGATTTGCGATATTCAATACACAAGGACGGAAATGAGATAAAGAGTCGCATGAGCATACAGATACGGATATGACATGTAAATCTGCAAAATGTCGCAACAAACCATCAAGAACGCGGTCAACCGAGCTCTATACCATTCCGAATTGGATAATAGGTAGCAAAAGTTAACTGATCATGGAAAATAACTCCCCATTGGAAACGCTTTCTTGGCCTAGGATAGGGTGGAAATTATGTTATATGATGCAGTAAAACTGTATTTAGATAGAAATTCGTCACATATAGACCCTCGCAGACAGGCACCACACGCCTGGAAAAGCACTGTACGCGCGTTTCGTCCTTCTGGGAATCGTCAGCAGTGAACATTCCATCGGACCCTAGTAGGGCTCGAACCCGCAACTCGACTGTTGCCTGTCCTCGCTTGAAGCTACCGAGCTACGAGGGATAGCAATGACCATCGTGAACAAGTTACGAGATGTGCTATAGCGCAACTCACTATCCACTGACTTGCAAGTTACTGCCGTGCAGAGGACAGGGTAGCCCCTCACTAAGTGACGAACTTACCAAACTTCCGCCGCCAAGTAACTTATGACATTATAAGCAGTTTGGTCTGGGTACTGATTGCAAAGAAGGATTAGAGGGAGTTGAATTGTATAGTTTGGTAATTTTCTCGCCTAGTGACGGGGTTCCCGGTCCTGTGCACAGAAGTAACGTGTACTTCAGTGAATAGTGAGCGTTGCTGTCCCATCTAGTAACTTATTCACGATAGTCGTTATCGTCCGTCGTATCTCAATGGTCTCACTCACGGACTGGTAACAGTCGAGTTGCGGGTTCAAGCCGTACCAGTGTTCCATAGGTTGCGCACCGCTGACGATTCCCGGAAAGATGAAACTCGCTTACAATGCCCTTTCGGTCGTGTGATGGTTCTCTGAGTGAATCTAGATGTGACGACTTTCTACCTATACCTTTCAATTCACCCTGCTACTCCACTGTAAAAATGTATTTGTCTACTTGGGAGTTGACTGCGGATGCGCAGAGTCCTGGGGGATTCACACATCTCTCCCCCTTCATTTAACTTCAGTAACGTCAAGCTAATGTATTCCGGGGTTGAATATGTCCCCTCTTCCTTTTCTTATATCTCATTGCGTTCGTAAGCCGAGTAAGGATTATCAACCGCCTTGCCAAAGCGCTACTTGTATGGCTTTTAAAGGCAGATTGCTTCATTTATGGGACCACAGCTGCATCATTTTGATACATTATAAGGACTGGTCTCGAATTGGACTTCTCCGTTCTATCCTTAAGGAAGAAATATGTGATTTTCTCCGATAATAGCGACAGCTGTAAGGTAGTAGTTTGCATCAATGAATTGTCTTTGTCTTACAACGATCGGGACATTTGCCAGTAGTTTAATTTCAACCAGCATTTGCTTGTGTTGGTAAGCAGTTCCCTCAGCCTATGACAGCTATGATGATTGGTTTGTATTTATGACCATACCATATCGTCCAGGGTCAAAATTTAATCCAGACCGTATAAATGCCGTACTTTCATGGTGATGGAAAGGTTACTTAGTTTTACAGACTCCTGAATAATGACCCCTTCGTTCATGCAAACCCAGTAGCCTGCGTGTAATACATACTTTATTCCATCGTCTATTTAATTGGGAAGAATAAAG